GTGGAGATTTGTATTAGTGTACCAAAGATTCTTAGAATTCTGGGAGGAAAACACATGCACATTTGTGATTAATCCAGCATGTCCCAAACTTAATTGATCACAGAGTTCTGTCATTTCATAACATTTATTTAAATAGAATTATTGTTTTACAAACTTTGAGAAAGTAGCAATATATATATATATATATACACATTGATAAAAGAGTTGAAAGCGGATACATCAAACTGTTAACAGCATTTACTTCTAGGTACTAGGAGTATGAATACTTTATACTCTTTTACGTTTTCTGAATTTTTTTGCAATAAATATTACTTTTATAGTAAAACCTGTAATAGGACTATTCATATTTTCAGCTGCATTTTTTCCAAAAAACTGAAAACAAAGATAATTTAAAGTAGAAAAACAACTTTAATCTCATTTAAAGCAACCAGCACGTTTAAAGCTGACAACACATTTTAAGGAACCAGCACATTTTAAACAAACAGCATGTTTTATAGCTCTTTGAGTCTGGTTAGTCAAATGTCATACTCTCCCCCAGTTAGTCTTCTAGTTCTTCAGTAGACTGGTTCTCCCACAAGAAAGCTAGGAGAAGAAGGTAAAATGGTTAACGCTGAACTAAGTTTGTACTTCTCTTGTCTGCATGGTGTTACTATATAATTATATTATCTGTTCCAACATGAGATTTTTAGGCCTCTTCTAGTCTTGTGTGTGTGTTGTATGTTTGTTTATGTTCATATATGTATGTGGGAGTAAATGTCCATGTGTATTCCTGTGGAGGCCAGAGGTCAGTGTTGTGTGTTTATGTATGTGTGTATGGTATATGTGTACGTGTTCAAGTTCCAGGTTCAGTGAAGAAATATTGTCTAAAATATAAGGCAGAGGGGGTGGAGAGATGATTCAATGGATTAGAACCCTTAGTGCTGTGAAAGCATAAGGACTTGAATTAGGATCCCAGCATCCACAAAAAAGCAGACATGGCCGCATTCGCCTGTAACCCCAGTGCTTGGAATGGGGAATGGAGACAGAGGCTCTCTGGGACTTGCTGGCTGCCAGGCTAGTCCCAGGTTCAGTGAGAGACTTTGTCTCAACAGGAATAAGGTGGAGAATGATACGGTAGGACACCCGACATCCTCCTGTGGCCTAAGGCACACACACCTGTACACATACATACACATGCATGAACCACACACACTTGTACCACATTCATATACATTGACATGCAGCACACACACACACACACACACACACACACACGAATGTATTTGTAGTTGGATTCGGAAGTTGTGATATGGTCAGATAACTTTACCAACTGAGCCATGTCTGTAGCCCCTACATTTAGTTTTTTAAAAAATATTTTATTAATTTTATTTTAGTTTATGTATATGAGTGTATTGCCTGCATGTATGAAAGTGTACCATGAGCATGCAATGCCCCCAGAGGCCAGAAGAGGGTGTTGGATCCCCTGGAACAGGAGTTACAGATGGTTGTTAGCCACCATATGGGTGCTGGGAATTGAATCCGGGTCCTCTGGAAGAATAGCAAGTGTTCTTAACTGTTGAACCACCTCTCCAGCCCCTATGTTTAGTTTTTAATAAGAATTTGGACTAAACTGTACCTCTATTGCAATGTTTTTTTCCACTCAATAGTATTTCATAAGTATGTTTTGACGTAAGTACCCTTCTACATGAATGTTTTGGTGTTTATATAATACTCACTATATGAATGTACAATACTTTATTTCACCAGCTCAGACTGATTGACATTTAAGTTACCTCCATGTTGTTTTCAACATTATAAACTGTAAGAACTCCTTGGATGTATATGTTTATGTACTTGTCAGCACCAGTGAGTCCTTCTTGTTGCCAACACTACTTGCAGAGTGCTAGGAGGTTTCCCTGGTGATTACCTCAGGTAATGAGCTGCTGGCCTAAGCGTTCATTACAACTGCAGCTAGTGGTAAACAGGTGAGTCCAGAGAATGAAGAAGGAGGCACAGTCTGTTTGCACTCCTCACTGTGACATGTCTTAACAAGGAGTATTACCAAGTGCCCCTTATGACTATCGACTCAAGATTTCCTTTATTTCTACAATATGTAAAAAAAGAACTTTTAAGTGCTTTTATGTATTGATTTTTGTTCTCCTTATCAAAGAAATTGTGTCTCCTGTATCTATCACTTTTTTCTAATCTTACTTTCTTTAAACTCCTTATCTCCATGAAATATTGTTTGCTTTTAAAATCGTGTTTACTATACCTTCCTTAATTTGGTTTCATCAATATCTCTGTTTTGAGCTTGTTCATTTCTGTAGGATTTGCTTTTTGATTGTCACATTTTTTTTTCTTAGGAAGAAGGAACAAGATCTTTCTGATCACTCTATATTTGTTTTACTTTTCCTTCCATAGAAGGAACACAGCTACCATGTGGTGCATATGAAAATACGCCACCCAGGTTCTCCCTCGAGAAGGATGTATTTTCCTAGTGCTCAGAGTACTGCTATGAGTAGACAGCCTTTGGATATTAACTCCTTCAACATTTGTACTTGCTGCAGCCTTCATCTAATAATGATCAAAATGCATTATAAAGGTCGAGCCATTTTATTTTATTTATTTTTTAATATTTTTAAAAATAATTTTATGTGTCTGAGTGTATTGCCTGCATGTATGTGAGTGGACCCATGTCGTGCAATGTCGAGGAGGCCAGAAGAGGGCTTTGGATTCCCCTGGAACTGGAGTTAACAACAGTTCATAGCCGCCGTGTAGGTGCTGGGAATTGAACCCGGGTCCTCTGCAAGAGCAGTCAGTGCTCTCAACTGCTGAGCCATCTCGCCAGCCCCTTTATTTATTATTTTTATTTTTGCATATGAGCATGCGGCCTGCTTGTATGTAAGTGAACCCATGTAGTGCAATGCCTGCAGAGGTCGGAAGATCTGCAGATCCCCTGGAACTGGAATTACGGCACTTGTTAGCTGCCATGTGGATGCTAGGGTTCAAACCTGGGTCCTCTGGAAGAGCAATCAGTGCTCTTAACCACTGAGCCATCTCCCAGTCCCAGTTCAGCCATTTTAGAGTAATATAGGATAAATATGATGAGGTCAATCAAGGCTTCATAGGATTTGTAAGGAAATTCATCCCCCCAATCCCTGCCTTCCACAGGCATCCAAGCCTAATAATACCCTGAATATTAAACTCCTGTCTCCCTGTACGCTTCTAGAACATCTGACCTATAACACACCCTTTCCTTTCATCATTATCCAGTTCAAAGTCCAGAGTATCTGGGTAATAGTTACTTTTCTCTAGTCTAGAAGTGTTTCTGTTTGGCTAAGTGATCTATAAACTAAAAAGAAGTTATCTGTCTCGATCTCCATGCTCTAAAACAATGATGGCGAGAAGAGGGTAACCAGCATCAACATTACTGTTTGCAAAGAGGAGCAATGAGAGACACACAGGAGTCTTACTAAGAAGACCTTGGTCAGGCTGAGATTCTGCATTCCAGGAGAACTTTTCCTGCCCGCTGTCCACTGTCTGGAAAGCTCTTCCAATCCATTACTTTATTTTCTATGTTTATATCTTCTGTATGGCTGCATGTGCAGCAAGTTTTGAGGAACATGTCTGCCTTAAGGGCCTTCAAAGCTGGTGGACTAATGGAAGCTTAAAGATCTAAATACTGTTTATTACTCTTTTAACACGAACTTGTGGCAATAAACTTGAATCCTGAAGGAACCACATTACTACTTTCTACTCCCATCTATTTACTCTTGAAAAGTGGCCAATTATTCTCTGATCTCATTTCTTTTAATACCCTTGATAGCTGTCATAGGCTCCTCCTTGTACTCTGACTCCTACCGTATACTGACCTATCAATTTGTAATCACTTTCTATGTATTTAGAACAATAAAGACAGAAACAGAGACAGGAAAATAGTCATCTCTTGCTAAATGCTGATTCAATTTAGTTGAACTATTTTGTTTTCCTTTGGAATATCTTTGACTTTGTATGATTTATATAAAAATATTTTCAGGGTGGAAATATGGCTCAGTGGTTTAGAGCGTTGGTTGCTCTTGCAGAACACCTCAGTTCAAACTGCAGCACCCATAGGCAGCTAACAACTGTCTGTAATCCTAGTTCCAGGAGATCCTATGGCCTCTTCTGTCCTCTTTGGGCATTGCACAACATGAGTGCACTTACATACATGCAAGCATAGCACTCATACATATAAAAATTTTTAAAAAATATTTTCAGGTAGTGGTAGAGCACAGTTAGTGGTGTATTTTCCAAATGTACTTTCTGAGTCAAAGGGAAAGGAAATTAGGATAATGAAGTTAATAAACTGTTAGTCATTGGCAATGGATAAGGGCAGAAAAGAGAAAGTTGAAAAGACTTCTTTAATTTACTTTTAAAAATTTGTGTGTGTGTGTGTGTGTGTGTGTGTGTGTGTATGTGTGTATGCACCATGTGTGTGCAGGTGCCCACAGAGGCCAGAAGAGGGCATTGGATCCTCTGAAGGTGAAGTTACAGGTGACTGTGAGTCACCTGACATGGGTGCTAGAAATTGAATGCAGGTCCTCTGGAAGAGCAGCAAGTGCTTGTTTTTTAAAAAAAATCTTTTTGGTTATTTGCTTGTATTTTATGTGTATGAGTGTTTTTTCCTGCATATATGTAAGTGCACTCATGCATGGAATGCCTGTGGGGGCCAGAAGAAGACATCACATCCCCTGAAACCGGAGTTAGGGAAGATTGTTAGTTGTCATGTGGGTACTGAAAACCAAACCTGGCTCTTCTGCAAGAGCAGCCAATGTTCTTAACCACTGAGTCATCTCTCCAGCCTGCAGCGAGTGCTCTTAAAGAGACTTTTTAAAAGGCCCTTTCAGAGTTTTGCTACCAAAGTGTTTTTCCTTTAAGCTCTCCCTTAATTTCCAATGAACAGCGGATGGAGCGCCTGAGTGTTCCCTTCCCCATCCCCCTTACGTTTCTTCTCTCCTCTTAACACCCCATCCCACAGTAGCTTACGTGATCCAGCAGAGGATTCCCACTGATGCTATGATGACAAAAAAAGGAAAAATGGCTGCTGGAGGTATGGAGCACCTGAAGAATTCTGACAGGTGCTTGCCCATCCAAGACCTGTGGTTTCCTGCAGAAAGAGGATGTGCATTCATTGAGGAGATGTCGAGTCAATGAGGCAATTGGTATTTGAACCTGAGTTCAAATTCAAACAGTTGCTTCAGAGATTATGTTCTTAGAGTTACCCAGAGCACATGACATATGCATGCTGCCTCAAGCTATATACATTGTTTTAGAAAGTATCCTTAGGTGAATTACATCCACCTCAAATATCTGAAGGGCTACTTTGTGAAAGAGGAGCAGAAACTGATACCAAAAACTTTTATTTATTTATTATTATTTTTATTTTATGTGTATGTGTATATTGCTTGCATGTATGATACCAAAAACTTTTAAAGTGTTGTTACCTAGAGTATGTCTGAATGTTTTACAGGAAGTTGAAGGGAGTCAATGTCCCAGGAAAAGAAAAGAGAAGGCCATCAGCTCTATGTGTAGAAGAGGAAAGGGCCAGTGCAACTGGAAAAAAATAACTTTTGGGAAAGTCTGCTGATAATTATAAAGCTGGAGATGTTGGGTCTTCCCTTTAGAATTCAGGTTTGGAGAGGAAGGAAAGGTGACGCCAAGGAACGAGGCCACCAGGGTAAACAAAACTGTTTACTCCATGAAGTTCAGAGTGCTTGCCAGCATAACCCTTTATACACCTGGAGCTCCAGGGCAGATCTGACCAGTATGTATGTGCCTGATGGAAATACACCTTTGAGGATCCTCACTCTGGATCAGTCAACTATTGTCTTTATTTTCGATTTTACCTCTTTTGTGAAATCTTCCCTTACTCTTCCCCCAGAACAACTTTAATGGTCCCCCTTGTTCTCTGGGAGCATTTGTCAAAAAAACATGAAATCAATTTTTCCTGACCTGAGATATGACTCTTAGGGCTTCTGAAGTCAGGATCATTCATCTTAACAGCAAATACACTCACTGAGCGTGATTTGAATCCTGCATTTCCTTTCACTTCAAAGGTAGATAAAGGTGAAAGAGGGTCAGCTCTCTCCAACAAGAGGCAATTGAGAGGGTTCAGCAACAATCCTATGCAGAGCAACTTGAAAGGCTTCATGAATTCCTGCTCTGTCTGAAAAGTCAGAACATGGAAGTTCAGTTCTCATTGCAAAAATTTTCCACCTACCAAACACAAGGATAATTCACGGATTTATACTTGTGAATCCTGAATACGGCCAGTGATTCTCCAAAGCAAAATGTATTCCCCACCCTCCAAAAAAACATTGTGTTCTATCAGGCCTTGTGCCTTGAAAGTGAACTTTCTTACCTTTCAATACTACATCTTATTCATCAGAGAAATCCTGTTAACTTCATGGACTTCACATGACCCCTTACTATCATCTCTGTTCTTGTTTCTCTTCAGCCTTTTCTGAAGTAAGCAACCAGATCCTGCAAATACTAGTTAGATTACGTCTGGTTACTTCTCTGATCTCATGTCCTACTAAGCTTCCCTTTTGAGCACTCTGATTCAACCTCATTTCTTCTAGAATAAGCTTGAGGCATTCTTACCTTGGAACTTTTTCACTTGCTATTGCAATTCCAGTGGCCTAGAAGCCTCCACCTCCCTGTGCTCATGAACCAGCCCTGGCTTTTACAGTCTTTCAGCCTCCTCTTCCATAATGGTCTCTGAGATGTGAGTGGGTGAGGCTCCATATAGAAGTCCCATCCTACATTGTGGCCTTCTGTGTGCATCACACTCTGCTGTGACATGTTTTTTTAATAACAGAATGATAGAAATCTGATGGGTGAGTTTTGGGAAGGCTTTTTTTTTGTCTTTTTGAGACAGGGTCTCCCTGCAGCCCCAGCTGGACTGGAACTCATTACGTAGACCAGGCTGGCCTTGAGCTCACAGAGATCCTCCTGCCTCTGCCTCCCCAGTGCTGGGATTAAAGGTGTGCACCACTGCACCCAGCTCTTTAACCTATTTTGATGATAGAGATGGTGCTACCATTTCCTCACATATTGCCTTGAAAATTACAGTGTTGCTTGAAATTATACCAGACATCTTGTGATCATGAGACTTCATGAGGAAAAAGTCAAAAAATGATGTATACATTCATTTGATGAATTTCAAGCTTCCAAATGGACACTTACATCTGTTCATCTCCAGACTGCTTATTATAGGAAAAATAAAGCCCTTTTTTGAGCCATTATATTAAGACAGAAGGACCCAAGTCTCTCTAGGGCAATAGACAATGTTGTTAAGCACTGTCAAATGCTATCAAGAATGCTTTGGGGAGGGAGCTGGAGAGATGGTTCAGCGGTTTAAAATACTGGCTGCTTTTGCAGAGGACTCGGGTTCGGTTCCCAGCACATGGTGGCTAACAACTGTCTGTAGCTCCAGTTCCAGGAGATCCAATCTATGACCTGGCCTCTCCTGGAATTAGATGACATGGGTGCCCATACATACATGTAAGCAAAACACTCATACACAAAAAATAAAAATAAATAAACCAAAAAAAATTAAAAAAGAATGTTTTGGGCTGGTAAGATGATTCCACAGATAAAAGAGCTAGCTTGCCACTAAGCTTGAGGACCTGATTTTTTTTTTTGTCTTTTTGAGAGAGGGTCTCCCTGTAGCCCCAGCTGGCCTGGAACTCACTATGTAGACCAGGCTGGCCTTGAACTCACAACAATCAGCCTGTCTCTGCCTCCCAAGTGCTGGGATTAAAGGAATGTGCCACCATGCCCAGCAAAAGGACCTGAATTCTATCCCTGGAACCCATGTTAAAGCTAAAAGGATAAAACAAATTCCCCCAGGGCACTGGAGAGATGGCTCAGCAGTTAAGAGCACTGGCTGCTCTTGTAGAGGATCTGGGTTTTATTCCCAGCACCCACATGGCAACAAACGTCCATAATTTCAGTTCCAGGGGAATCCAATGCCCTCTTCTGACCTCTGGCACTACACGACACGGGTGCACTTACACACACATAGGCAATACACTCATACACATAAAATAAAAGTAATAAAATTAGAAGAACAACTTCCCCAAATTATCCTTTGCTGTATTCACATGTACACATACATACACATGCACACACACGCACACACATAAAATAAATACTAAATAATAATGCTAGCTTTGTGTTGACCTTGCTGTATAATGTAAATGAACAAAACTACCAGGAGTGAGCTGATTAGGCCTTTACATGGCAGAGGCTAGACTCTTCCCTTATGTTTGCCAGCCTGGAGCAAGAACTGTCAGCTCATCAGCCAGAGTACAGCTCACAGCAGCTCAGCTATTTTGAACACTTTATGCTCACTCTGAGAACACTCCAGCTGCAAGAACCATTGCTACAGGAGGCCCTTCTTCTAGTCAGCCTTGCTCGAGAAAACCTGCATGAGCCTTGGAAGGCAGCATTCCTGGCAAGAAAAGCCTTGATAAGGTTTAGATGAGCTTGTAGCTATTCTCATTCAGGATGAGAGGTAGAGCTGCTCTTCAGTAACTCAGTAAGAAGTCAGTGATTGGTGGAACTGGAAGCTATGCTGTGATTCGTGCAAATACAATCCTTTATTTGCATGCAGCAACCAGGCCACACCGCCCCTTCTGTCTATATAACCAGGCTATTCAGTTCACTTTTGAGTAAGTTGGGGGGACACCCTCCTCTTCTGCCTCTCAGTGCTGCAACATTAGGCCTATCAATAAAAGACTTTTCCAGAATGTTTTTTTCTTGGCTACTTGTCTTTTTTGTTTGTTTGTTTGTTTTTGAAACAAGGTCTCCCTGCAGCCCCAGCTGGCCTGGAACTCTCTATGTAGACCAGGCTGTCCTTGTTCTCATAGAGATCTGCCTACCTCTGCCTCCTATTGCTGGGATTAAAGAACTGAGTCACCAACTCTGGCTTGGCTACTTGTCTTTTTGTTTTTTAATGCGTATTAATGTATTGTCTGCATGTATGTAAGTGCACTCACATCATGCAATGGCAGCAGAGGTCAGAAGAGGGCGTTGGATCCCCTGGAACTGGAGTTATGGATGGTTGTTAGCTAGCATGTAGGTCCTGGGAAGCAAATCCAGGTCCTTTCCAAGAGCAGTCATTGCTCTTAACCACTGAGCCATCTCTCCAGCCCCTAATCTTGTCACTTTCATCCTGAGTGGAATGGAAAAAGCTAGCAATAGTAAAGTGGTAGCAAAGCTTTTGGGAGCAGTAGAGGAGTTGGCAGTGCCAGTGGCAGTGGCACCAAAGTAGTGATAGAAGTACAGAGAAGGCAGAAAGTGATGTCATTGGAGGTGTTCCTAGCTGTTGCCAAAACCTTGAAGGCTGAGGGGCCTGACACCCTAAGGCCTAGGAGTTATAACAAACACCTAGTGCTTCTGACTGCTGCTGTCATTAGCTACTGCTTAGAGCTGAGGACTTTACTAGCTATTGAGTGCTGAGCAGTAAACCCTCTAACCTGAGCATGTACAGCTATAAGTTTCTGGTTTCTAAGGCCTGGGGTCTTAAGTCTCTAGTTCTCAAGAGTTCAGAGATAAAGGCGTCTGATTCTGTCACCCTAGTCCATAGGCCTTGACACTCAGCGTCCACGATTACTAGGACTAGAAAAGCTTCTCCCTACCTATTCACAACTTCCATCCAAGTAGAACAAAGGACCCCTGCCAGTTCAGGTGACAACATTTTGGGCTTTCTTTATCTAAGATACTCATTTGCTGTTTGATAGGGCTTGAAGAGATCCATTGCTAGTGGGAAAGCACTTACCTGAAAATTAACTGAGCACAAAGGATCCAATGAAATGATGGAATTGAACTGTGGTATTCAGAGGGCAACGGTTCTCAGAAGAAACTAACTAGCATCAGCCTCTTAAGTCTCTGGAGTTCTAGAAAGAATCCTACCGCTCTATGATATCATTAACCACCTTTGACCTTCACCTAAGCTCTATTTGATAGTTAAACATACAGACGCTTTTTTTTCTATTGATGCATGCACATGTGTGTTGATACCCAAATCCATTCTTACAGTAATTGGCATGAAGAATTCCAAGATATATTTGCTACATCATATTTGCCATACCTTATAATAATAGATATATCAAACCTTAATAAAGGTGGCATTCCATGTCATTAGGGGAAAAGGTTAATATGATAGGATCAGCGGTAATTAGCTAGGAAATAGAAGGGGCATAAGAAGGGAAAGAGATTGCCTTCTCCCTGTCCTGGTTATAGTTTCCAGCTCTCATTGGCTATTATGAAGGAGTTTTGACATAACTGACAAGATCAACTACAGAAGCACTTCTCTCTTTTGTAAGAAACATCACAGAAGATTATTAAAATGGATAATGAACTCCACCTTAAGTCCAATCTCCTTGTGAATAAAGAACAATTCTTTTGCTTAGTGATTTGATTTCTACTCGTTTGTCCAACTGCTAGCCTGTGTAATATACCTACATGTTCTCCTCTTTAAGCATGAAATTCTGTGGAAAAGAAAAATAAATATACCAGCACACACCTTCCCTACTATCTAAGCTTAGTTGCAGAGTAAGTAGCTTCAGAGTCCATAAATCACATGTTAAATTAACTGCTGAGGTCCTTTTAGGTATTTTCCTCTAATGTTCACACTTGATTCTCACAAATGTGTCTTTATTTCTGCTTAATAAATGAACTCACTAACTTGCTTCACTCTGCCTCATTCTGTATGGGAATGACTTTTCTGGGACAATATCTCAGGTTGTTTGTAATTTAAATAAGCTTACTAGGCCTTGGGCTCCTCTGGTAACATAAACATAGTTTTACTCTCTTATGACCCTTCCTGGCCCTTGACTGACAATAATGTACATTTGTGTGTATATGTTGTGAAAATATCAAAACACTTCAAGCATTGAATATTCATTGAAAGCAATGAATTATCCCATTTATATTGTAAACAGCACGTGGAATTAAATTGATAACATCGTTTGTGGTTGTGTATGCTGTTATAGATGAGTAGGGATCAGATTCAGAAAATTTTTTGACAAGACAGGTTCCATATTCTTTTCTCATGTAATGCTGAATTAATTGTTTTAATAAAGAAAGAGCAAGGCCTTTGTTTGGGTGCGCAGTGCCAGGAGAAATCTGAAGTAACAAGCT